TCTTCGATTTCCCCCGTAGAAACTTGGGGAACGTGAGAAGCTCCGGAGGGGGCCGTGACCTGTGTTCCACCGCGGCGTGAGGGAAATCCAGCGGGTGTCTGCGCTGCCGAGAAGCGTACGCGTGAGGTACGGACCTGGGCCTAAGACAAACCATAGGAAACCCATGTGCGTGCGTACGCTGACTGTTCTGGAGCTCTGCGGGGTCCACGTACTTCCGCAGCGTTGTGCGCTTTCCGCCCACGGCGGCCTCTGCGCAGACTTGTGAGCAGGTGAGGGCAAACCCCCGTTCGTGGCAACAGCTGCAGAAAGCTGCTTGCCATCGCCTCTGTTCTGGCATGAATTGCTCTCTGTCATTTCGCATTGTATATTGCTGAAAAGTGCTTTCTGGTCAAGTAGTGTTGCTTCAAATTGTGCCCCTCCCAACATGCTTGATGTTTGGCCTGATCTACAGGCAAAAGGAGTGAGACAAATCAAAAACCGTACTCTTATAAATTCCCTTTTAGCCTGTTCACCACCGCTGTCAGGAGGCACCCGGAGAAAAGCAGTCCCTTTTGCTCGGTCGTTTATCGCGTATTCAGATGCTGCACTCACACCACGCTTGCTTACCTTTGAGGCAGGAATTAATCGTCTTAATTTCTCCCCATTTTGACCCCTTTTTTTAAATTGGAGTGAAACTGTTTGGAACTACGAGGCGGACTTAGCCATCCGTTTCCTGGGGGATCCGAAATAGGAGCCAGGTGCCTCCTGACAGCAGCTTTACGAGACAGAAAGGTTTTTGTGTTTGGGTTTTTTTTTCCTTTTGTCAGCAGTGACTCCGAAACTGTAGCAAATGCTGCACTAGAGTACAAACTCAAGAGCTTGGTCACAGACTCTCTGTGAGCCACACAGCTCACATCTGACTGGCAGGTACTAAATGTAAACAATTTTGGGGTGCTTTTTGGGGGTGGGGGGTGGGAGTTTGTGGGCGGTGACTTTGACCAAAAGTAAAATCTTGCTCTTGTACTGCAGCCAGCTTACGATTTTCCAGAGAGACACAAGAGAGGGATCACTTTAGCGCAACAGAGATATGGAAAATGTAAATAAAGGCGTTGTGTCTTACCAGGGCACGCACACGTAACAGGAACAGGATAGCGGTGTCGAGTCAGACGTGCGTGCTCTGCGTGGGCTTGGGGTAGGTTAGCCTGGTGCCATGCGTTGCCGGTCCCTCTTGAAGCACAGAACTTTTGAAAGTATTACTTTAAACTTGGCCTCTAATTGAGGATTGGCACTTACCTAAACTATCGGGGGCACCATTTTTGGGTGGCTTCTTGTAAAGAAGGAAGCAGCCTGGTTTTGGTGCCAGTAGGCTATCTCTAGCAGATGCGATCTTGCAAGTGGAAAGATGCTCCAAACAACTAGGATAATCCTAGGATTTTTTTGTTGTTGGGGTTTTTTTTGGGGGGTTTTCTTTTTGTTTGTTTTTTTTGTTGTTGTTGTTTTTGTTTTTGTTTTTGTTTGGTTTTTTTGTTGTTTTTTTGTTGTTGTTGTTTGGTTGGTTTTTTTCCCCTACCCAGAAGTAAGGAGCGTGTCTAAATCTTGGCTTCCTGAGATCGCTTGCGAGCTCCTGTTTTTGCTGGTCACATACCAGCCTTCACATTCATGCATTAGTTGGAGCCTTCAGCGAAGAGCCCGAGGTCAGATACTTGCTGTGGCAAATGAACGATGTGTTCTGCAGCTCTCCCTGGCGGGTCTGGAGGCACCACACGAGATGCAGCCTCAGAGCTGGCCGGGGGCTGTGCGGGTGCCGCGAGTCCCCAGCCGGCTCTGGCGCTGGTCTCGGGGTGCGGGCCCACAGGAGCGCGCTGCAGTCGCTGCAGGGCTTTTCCCAAAGGGAGGGGGGCGGGTTGGTCTCAAATTTGTGCTTCAATTGCCAGAATGAGATGGGAGCATCTTTCCTTTGCCTTCTGTGACTTTTTTGTGGGTAAGAACAGGGAAGTTCAACATGAATTCATGTTGTGTACGTGTTGGTATCAAATCATCTCATTCTGATCTTTTGTTCTTTATTTTTACTTGGGTTGGGGGAGGGCGTCTGCTCCAAGGATTTAAAAATGCTTCCACGCTTGGGTTTTTCTCGTGACCGATAGGATGCAGACCGCAGCAGACGGCTGTCCTGCCTTGGTTTCAGCCGTAGAGGTTACGGAGATGCCACGCCACGTCTCCCGAGCTGCTGTTGCAGCGGTTCCTGTCCTGGTGCTGGACTGTGCAGTGCCACTGGGGCCGAGCAGCCGCTGCTCTGCGAGGACAGAGTGAGTTTTGTTCCCAGGGGCTGTGGCGGAGCAGCCGCCGTGGTCGAGGTTGGGCAGCAGGAGCCCACGCAGGGAGTTTTCTGATGACTCTGAGCTTCGGGTCCATCTCTTATGCATCGCAGTTTGTGTTCGTCACAAACCTGCTCTCTGGACCAGCGGGCGTGCACCCCATCTTCCGAGGGAGGCGGTGGCCCATGCTCCTCTAGGTTTTGTTCCGTTCACCTTTGTGTTGCTACAATGTCCCGATGTGGAAGCATTGTTAAATCCTGCTGTGGACAAGCTAGGGAAGGGTAAGGAGGGGTGGGGGGAGGGATGGGTCTATTAAGATACAGCCTCGCTGTATTTTAACCAATAACTACGGAGAAGGGGTGTCAGGAGAAGAAATTAGTCACTGTTCCCTTTATTGAAAGAAACTGGAACTTTTATTTCAAGAAAAAAAAATATTTGCAATCCAGGTGGAAGATTAAAATCCACCGGTCCCTGGTCAAGAGGTTGTTATTCTTACTGTTAACCAGCAAACAGCGTATGGATTAGTCCTTGACAACATTCAGGGGAGGGCGGGGAAAATTGGCTTTCTGTTAAATCGGTAATTGGCAAACTCTCCAGCGGAGCTCAGGTTTTGTTGAGAGCGTGTTTCTCTGGCTGTACATGCGTCACAGCACTTGACTTGTGAAGAGCTTCATGAGTTCCGAGTGCAAAAATGATGAATGGTAAAATCCTGGTTTTGTTGATTAAACTCAATAAAAGCTCCCTGGAACTCCACATTGGTCTTGGTTTTTCTTTTACCTGCATGAAAAGCCTGCTGTCTTCTTCCTAGAGAAGCCCCAGTGTGAGGCGGATGCTCGCAACGAGCTTTGGAGGGAGGCCTTGAGAAGAGGACTCGGTCTTGATAAGCAGCAAGGCTGGCGTGCAGCCGCAGGAGGCGTCCTCTGTCCATTGCACCCTCAAACCGAGGGTTCAGTGCTCTGCTGTCCCCTCCCGGCTCGGGCTGACTTCACCTGGTGCCTGGTTCCGGCGCCAAAAGAGCCTCGAGCTCGACACGGGGCGCTCCTGGAAGAGGCCAGAATGGTGTGGCAGAAGTCTGCTAGGGCTCCATCTTCATGTCTTTCCATGGGAGTCACCCCCGAGCTCTGCCTTGGTGGCTGCTTGTGCTCCAGGAAGCGCTGGTGTGTGCGGTGGTGCTGGCTTCTTCCCCTCACAGGCAGGGTCACCCCCGTGAGTGTCTTCTGGAGGCAAGAGTGGGCGTGCTGTGCGATGGGTGCTTCTGGCGGGGTGACTCGTGGCTCAGCTGAGGTTCCATGTGTGAAGGGTGCACTGCTATTTCTCACATCTAAGGAAAAGCTGCTGCCACCCTTCTGCCTATGCATTAGTGGTGTATTCCTGACCTGTGGACGGTTCTCTTGGTGCAACCAGAGCAGCTGAGCGCAATCAGCAGTTAAAACAAGGAGCAAGGTAAGAGCTGTGTGGGGATCTGTGTGGAAGAGGTCTTCTAAAACGTACCTGGCACATACAGCTGTAGTGCAGTGTGAACATTTCATGGCCGATGTCAAAAGTGAGACCGCAGCTTTTGATCAGAGAGCTCTGGAGGCCATTGGATGGAGGGAAAGGGTTCAAAGGACTTCTTGAACCTCAAGCTGGCAGTGTTGTGAAAGCTCTGAAAACGGTTGGTGAGCTGTGACCAAGGTGACAAAGTGACAGGGAACAGTGCGATACCATCCGGAGACTGGAGCTCGCTGGCTGATCTCTGGGAACCTTGAGGGCAATTGTCCAGCATAAACACAGCAGTAATTGTGTGTGCTGAGCTGCTGATTTGGTAGCTCATGGAGTTCTTCCGCCCCTTGGATTCTGTAGCCGGAGCTGGCTGGATTTGCAGTGACTGCACTCGAGCAGGGTCCAGGGTTGTGTGACACTGGAGACGTTTTTCTTTACTGGTCAGTGAAGAAAAGGGAATGAAGACTGGAAGGAAAGTAATTATGAAGGACAGTGACTTTTGCAGGCTTTTTAACATTCGTGTAGGTTGTTTTTGTTTCAGGTGGCTATGCTGTCACCTGCTCTCAGTCAGAAATTCCCTAGGCCAAAGCACAGGTGAGCCCCTGAAATCTGTCCAGCCAAAAGCCTAGCGATAAATTAAGTACTTGGAGTCTGGTTTAGAAGTGTAAACTGACAGCTCTGCCATGTCAGGAGCTCATGCGTCAGTATTTCAAGTGTGGGGGGGGCGGGGGGAAAGGCAGTGCTGCTGGAGGCCTGGGATGTACCAGCTTCACCAGGAAGGCTGCGGCTGGCCCTGATCTTGCGCAGGTGACTGCCCAGCAGGTAGTGCCAAAAATGGGGGCTGAAAGTAGGAGTCCACAATACACAGCAAGGACGGGTGCTACTGCACTGGGAGCCTTTGTCCTTCCTGCTGCAGCCTGCTCCTGGGACAGGCCTGGGGCTGTGCAGGGGCCTCCGTGTGCCAGCCCTGCCTGACGCTGCTGCTGGAAAATGAGGGGCGCTGCCTGCAGCAGGACTGGCTGGAGCACGGGCTGCTGCTTTCTGGGGACCCACAGGCGGAAGGTGCTGTTGTCAGCTTCAGGCCGGGCTGTGTGCTCCTATGTCCCTATACTGACATCCAATGCTGGGACAGGCCTGGGGCTGTGCAGGGGCCTCCGTGTGCCAGCCCTGCCTGACGCTGCTGCTGGAAAATGAGGGGCGCTGCCTGCAGCAGGACTGGCTGGAGCACGGGCTGCTGCTTTCTGGGGACCCACAGGCGGAAGGTGCTGTTGTCAGCTTCAGGCCGGGCTGTGTGCTCCTATGTCCCTATACTGACATCCAATGGGGTTGTGTCCCTGTGGCCAGCAGCTGCCCCCCTCCCCCCTCCCCTCCTTTTGCCCCATTCCCACCTGCCCTCTGTGGGGGCGCAGTCACTGCAGGGCCTGGCAGCCCGCGGGGCTGATGGGCTGCGCTGCATCAGGCTGCAGATGCCTGCCAGGCTGTACTGGGCACAGCTGAAGCAGAGTTTGTGCTCTCCGTAGCAGCCCATGCTGTGTTTTGGATTTGTGACTAGAATCATGTTGGTAACACACCGGTGTACACGCTTGTGCAGTGCTGAGATTCTCTTTTGTCTCTTTTCCCTGCCACCCCCTTGCCCCCAGCAAGCAAGCTGGGGCTGCACAAGAACGTGGGAGGGGGCACAGCTGGGACAGCTGACTGCAACTCAATGAAGGGCTATTCCGTGCTCTATGATGATGTGCTCAGCAGTGAAGGCTGTGAGCAAGGAGGGAGCCGTGTTTGCAGTTATGGTTTGTATGTCTTCCCAAGGAAGTTTTACATGTGCTGAGGCCCTGCTTTCCAGGAAGGGGCCTGCTGATGGGAAGTAGTGAATAAATACCTTAGTTTGCTTTGCTTGTGTGTACAGCTTTGCCTCACCTACTATACTGTTTTTATTTTGAACCACAGCTTTTCATGTTTTACTCTTTCACAACTCTCCCCATCCTGCTAGGGGGAGGACTGTGCTCAGCCGGCCGACAGAGTGACCATACCGCACAGGTGCACGATCAAGGTGGGTGTCTCAAGGCAGAGCCTGCACTGATGCTGCTTCAGGCTCCTTGACAAGGACATGCCACACTATGAGCCTGCCATTAATTACTCTCTTGAAGTACCCTCCCTGCCCTATTGGCAGTGGTGTGTGTGTGTGTGGCCCCAATCAAGGCCCATTGTGACAATGCTGAAGCAGCAGACTTGGTTGGAGACTGCCCAGCACCTCCCGGGCCTGTACGAGCCCCATCCAACCTGGCCTTGAACACTTCCAGGGACAGGGCGTCCACAGCTTCTCTGAGCATCCTGTGCCCGTGCCTCACCACCCTGACATTAAAGAATGTCTTTCTAAGATAGAACGCAGACCTCCCCTCTTTCAGTTTAAAACTCTTGCCCTCACCCTATCGCTACCCGCCCTTGCGAACACTCCCGTCCCCGCTTTCCCGTAGCCCCTTCGGGGGCGGGAGCCGCTGTGTGCGCTGCCTCGTGATCTGACGGGGCGGGGAAACCGGTCACGTGACAAGCGAGGGGGCGCGGCACTTGTCCAAGATGGCGGCGTACTTGCAGTGGCGGCGCTTCGTTTCTTTGACAGAGAGACGGTGAAGGAGCCGCTGGGGCCAGATGGGGCTGGTGGGAAGCCCTTCGCGTTACCCACGGGCATCGCAGTCTGCGACTCGGGCCGGGGAAGCCTCGTGTTCGGGGATATCCTGCGCGGCGGCGGGAGGTGGCGGTGCCGGCCTGCCGCTTTGGCCTGTGCGGGGTGCGGCGGGGCCGGGGAGCCCCTCGCTGGGTTGCCCTGCGGAAGCGCGTTTACTGCAGCCTTACCAGACGAGAAGCAGGCGTTAAGGTTCTGGATTCTGGGAGGATTTGGGGCTTTTTCCTCAAATTTTGTGGGTTTTGTGGTTTTTGCCTCTGTGTGCCTTAACTGTGGTCTACATATGGAAGGTCAGATTTGGTTTTTGCCTCGCTCTCTTCAACTCAGCAGTTTCCAGGCTTACAAGCTCAGGGTAACACATCTGTACCAGCTGAAGCAGCACAGCATCTTGGTTTCTGTTGGTGAGGATGAAGAAGGCATTAACCCCTTGGTAAGTCAAATGGCAAAGAGAGGAAAATGCATTTGTATTATGAGTCTTAAGACTGCTGCGATTACCTTAGTTAACCTTCTTTAACTTAAACAATGTGCTCATTCTGGGCACTGTTACAGTTGATGCCAGGCATTAGTCTCCTAATACCTCACACTTTGCGTATGCCAGATCATTGTTATTTGTAGGTTAAAGTCTGGAACCTGGAGAAACGTGATGGTGGCAATCCTCTTTGCACACGAATTTTTCCAGCGATACCGGGTAACAAGCCCACAGTTGTATCCTGCCTGACTGTCCATGAGAATCTTAATTTCATGGCTATTGGTAAGTAAAACTGATCTGCAATAGCTTACGTTACGGTCTTTATTCAGATGTCACGAAAACCAATACATAGCACAAAAGTCAGCATAGAACATCCTGACAGTCTTTCCTCTTGCATAGTTTCTATGTTATTCTCACAGAGAGATAGTGTATCCTTCACTGTTGGAGAGCTTGAGAAGATAACTACGTGTTTAGCCCGAGTCTGTATAAATTGCACTAATAACTTTGATACTTAAAAGGGAAGCACTTCTTTTTAGTTGATGCCATCTTTTCTCACCAGTCAGGAAGGTTACACATTTATTGATCTGAGTACTAAATCTAGCTTTTGTTGTAGTACTGGAAAAAACGTAGGTTTTGTGATAGCCAATGTTGGAGAGAGATTTTTTTTTTTTTCAAGCGCTGTATAACAACCTTTTTTTTTTAAAACAAAAAGACAGTTTGCCTTCTGGCATTTAACCATTCCTTTGTAATATTTCTTGCTTAACTTTGGACAGAATAGGAGCAGCAATGTTGGGAGATTACAGGCATTTTCAGTGAGTCGGTCCCAGCACCGAAGTCAAAAAGCTTTCCGTACGCGTGTTGTGGCCTTCCACCGTGGGACAACTTGTAGGACTGGGGCTGTCGGCAAGCTGGGAAAAGTGCACCTTTTACTCTCTTTGGCAAATCTCCCTCTAGCCCTTCTGTAGCGTGGAGTCTGTTTTGAATCAGCCATTAGAGTTAAAAGGATAGTTACAATTGGTGGCTGAGAAAGGTATTTCTAAAACCAAATACAGACAGACTCAAACAGTAACCTGTGAGCAAGGTTGTGTGTCGGAAGACAGTTGAACCTTGCTGAATGGTGACATCCTGTGTGCAGTCGGGTGACACAGCTGACCCGTAACACGAGTCATCGGGGGTGGTTTGGCATGTACTGCTACAAGCCTATTAATACCTTGCTGGCAAGCAAGGTGGTGTCACTCAGCAGAGCTGCCCTAACTTACACTGCATAATGTTTCAGGTGTGCCACATATGTAACGGTTTAGTCTGTCCCCTTCGCCAGGTTTTGCCGATGGCAGTGTCGTACTTACAAAAGGAGACATAACTCGAGACCGGCACAGTAAGACCCAGATCCTACACGAAGGCAGTTACCCAGTTACTGGCCTTGCTTTTCGACAGTCTGGCAAAACAACGCATCTATTTGTGGTGACTACAGAGAACATCCAGGTGGGAAGTTAACTGGTAAAAATGAGACTCTGACTTGCAAATTGCATTGGCTTCAGAGTCTGGTTTGGAGCGATCCCCAAAACCTTGTATTTCTTCTGTAGACTTACATGCTTTCGGTGAAAGACTATCCCCACTTGGAGCTGGACACGCATGGCTGTGGACTGCGCTGTTCGTCTCTCAGCGACCCCTCCCAGGATCTCCAGTTCATTGTGGCAGGAAACGAATGTGTGTACCTTTATCAACCGGATGAACGTGGCCCCTGCTTTGCCTTCGAGGGACAGAAGCTGATTGTTCACTGGTATCGGGGGTACCTCATCATTGTCTCCAAGGACCGGAAGACTTCTCCAAAGTAGGGCTTCTTGGAACAGATGAGTTCTGTTTGCTCTTGCATCTTCCTGCTTTCCCTTGGGGGTTGATTGAGTCTTTGCCAGAGGTCTTTAAGGTTCATCCAGACCCATATATTGATTAATTTTGGTTGTGAGAGTAGCACGCTTAAGTGTCCTGATCAAGCGGGACTTTTTTCCTGTCCTGTGGATTGCTCAGTCTAATATGTAGATGGAATTTGTGTATGACTGCACAGTGTTGTGCCTCTGGGTCCACTTAGTTTAGTCGCCCAAATGAGCCCCATTTGTCTGGCTCTCTGGACATCTCTAGTTTGCCTAGGTATCAAGAATTCCAGTTGTGCTCTCCTTCTTTCCTAAAACTTTACTCTGCTCTCCAGGTCGGAGTTTGCTGGGAATGAGGCACAGAATTCGGACAAACAAGTCCTGAATATCTATGACTTGTGCAACAAATTCATTGCCTACAGCTCGATCTTTGATGATGTAGTGGATGTCTTAGCAGAGTGGGGTTCTCTGTATGTCCTGACCAGAGACGGGAAGATTCACGTACTGCAGGAGAAGGATACGCAAACCAAACTCGAGGCACGTAAATCTGTTCTGTTATTAGACTCTGCCTTATGTCTGCAAGATTGTATTTGCTTTGCAGATTGAGAAGTCAAACTGTCCAGGTAAGCGAGTTACTTTACAAACGACCTGATGGCTTTTCATTGTAACCACCATTAGAAGGCATTTTGTATTTAAAAGCCCGAGCACGCATATGCATACAGCACCAAAAAGAAGAAACAACTTGTTTTCCGGGTGCGTTTGAAGGTCTTTTGCAGGGTGGTATTTCCCTCATTCTGCCCTTACTATGTGTTTAACAGATGCTGTTCAGGAAGAACTTGTTTGAAATGGCCATCAACCTGGCCAAGAGCCACCACTTGGACAGCGATGGTTTGTCAGAGATTTTCCGGCAGTACGGCGATCATCTGTATAACAAGGGGAACCATGACGGAGCCATCCAGCAGTATATCCGGTAAGCAAGGGGTCCTCTGGAGCCACGATGGTGTAGTACAGATAGGGGCTACCGAGGCCTTGATTTCTGTTCCAGCCCAGGGATAAAAACAAACAAACCAACCAAAAAAAAGCAGAATGACTTGAGGTGAAAACTCTGCCAGTAGAGAGAAACATGTCAGTGAGATCACAAGTCTCAGAAAACATTGCTTGAAAATTGCTCTGTAGTCGTTAGGGTAAACTTCTCCTCTTTGATCATATTTTACCATGAATAATGAAGGCACACTGGGATGGAGTGGGACCTGATGATGCCATTGTGTTCAAGGGATCGCCGTAGGTAAAATGAATGATGTGATTTGACAGTGCATGGCAGCCTTCTTGGAAAATGCCCAAATGGCTTAGTGTCAGTTTTGAAACATCTCGAGTTTTTTGAAACATGGAGCAGCCTGTTTCGAGGCTTATTGAAAACAACTTCATGTTCGGTCTCTTTAAAACGCCACAAAGCGTTATGTTCACACAGAACCGAAACTTCGGAGTCCCGATGACTCGTCGAGAGTCGGCGTGTGTATTATCATCAGCTTGCGTTATGTGTCAGGATAACTGTGGCTAAACCGCTCTGTGCAGGCCCGAGTGTTTAGATTTGATTTTGAGTTATGTGACTGAAATGAAGGAACAAGTAGCTTTTGTTCCCCTTTTTTTGGACTTTCCAGATAGCTGTGATCAGAGCATAGTCTGTCTTCTTGCCACCTCCTTTAAAGGCGGCTTACGGTTAGGGTTAGGGTTAGGGTTAGGGTTAGCATGCCTCCTTGCATGCTGTCACCGTCGCCCCAGTCGTGGCCTTTGTAAGAAGGTCGGTTGTTTCACCATGCACACAGATGGGTGGTCTTGTGCCAGAGCTAATTGTTGCTTCCGGTGCGTAGCTGAGTGGTCTCGGGTGGGTTGATGGCTGGTGACGTTCAGGAGTCAAGTTTTAACTTGCTGGGTGTTCCGTGTCCTGTAACGTGACTCTTCCCCTCCCAGAACTATAGGGAAGCTGGAACCGTCTTATGTTATTCGGAAATTCCTGGACGCTCAGCGTATCCACAACCTCACTGCTTATCTGCAGACGCTCCACCTGCAGTCCTTGGCCAATGCAGAGCACACTACGCCCCTGTTGAATTGCTACCGCACTACGCGCCTGCTGAATTGCTATACCAAGCTCAAGGACAGCTCCAAACTGGAGGAGTTCATTAAGGTACTGGGGGAAGGCAACATCATGCCAAGTCTTTATCTCCGCAACATAATTAAAAAGGGGTAGCAGTGACTTTGTAAATTGGCTCATGTGGGGTTGTTGAGAGAAAATAGTGGATTTGTCTCTCGGTACCTTTGGTTTTGCTCTTGTATTTCCGAGCTCTTGGTTGCATTTGCAGCTTGGCTGGCTTGCCATCTGAGTTGAGAGCACGCTGGCTTTTGCTGGTGTGGCCGCCAGGCTGACGAGAGGTGGTTAGACTTCTTCCTTTCTGTACGTGTGACCTTTCGATTGCGTGAAAGCTGCCAGGTTGTTCCTGCTCTGTCCTTCCTCTCCTGAGAGAAATGCTCGCTGCTTGTGGGCTATGAGAACGTTGCTGAAAGGCCATCTTTCTGCTTCTTTTCTTGTAGACGAGTGAGAGTGAGGTCCGTTTTGACGTGGAAACGGCGATCAAGGTGCTTCGTCAAGCGGGTTACTACTCCCACGCTGTGTACCTGGCAGAGAAGCACGCGCATCACGAATGGTACCTCAAAATCCAGCTGGAAGACATCAAAGTGAGAAGATGTTCTCGCTCCCATGTTCTTGCTGGGGAGAACACCACTTCCCTAGTCCCCTCTCTCGCAAGAATGCCATTTCACTGACCTCCTCCCTGCGTCCTGACGGGGCTGCTGAGGCAGCGTCGACCACACCCGCCGCCACTCGTGTGTTGGTATTTGCCTTGTGGGGTCGACTAAGGGTGTGCACATCAGAGGGGCTTCGTTGTTCTGTTTCAGATGTGGCTTTTTACAGAGTCCTTTAAGAGGAGTTGTTGGTGAGACAGTGTTGTACATTGCGTGCTTGTTCCCCTGGCCCCCAGCCGGTCCTCCTGCCTGAGGAGGAAAACAAGCAGGAATAGTGAACTAGGTGATAATTCAGAGCAAATGGTGTTTAAGGCGTACTCTCAGCATGTCCTCAGTGCCTTCTGCCCTGACGTCAAAATGGAGAGCAGAGATTCATGCTGTGTGACTTTGTGTGCTTACTCACTGCCCCCCCTCTCTGCTGCCTCCACAGAACTACCAAGAGGCTTTGTGCTATATCGGAAAGCTGCCTTTTGATCAGGCAGAGAGTAACATGAAGCGGTATGGTAAAATCCTGATGCACCACGTCCCTAACGAGACCACAGAATTGCTGAAGATCCTTTGCACTGATTACCGGCCGTCAGGAGACAACGAGGGCACTGGGATCCTGGAAGGGAAAAAGGTACTGTTTGCACCCAGTGAGAGTTGTTGCTCTTGAGTAGTAACTTCACAGCAAGCGAATCCTCCTGTGTGCCCTGTGGCGCAGGCCAGAAGTTTTGGGTATGATGAGAAGCTCTATCCTGGTAGTCCCAGGGACAAGAGACTGCTTAAAGCTATCGCTTGGAACCGACTGCTGCTGTAATCGGCAGCCCGTGCTCTCTCTGTTGCATCACGGACTCTGGAGACGAGCGCTTAGCGTGGCAGGGAGGAAACATCAGTCTGACTGTGATTGATCTGGGTGCTTGACTTTTTCTGGCTGTGTTACAGGCCAATTCGGAAGAGTTCATTCCAATCTTTGCAAACAACTCCCGAGAACTGAAGGCTTTTCTGGAGCACATGACTGAGGTGCAGGCTGACTCCCCACAGGGCGTCTACGACACTTTACTGGAACTTCGGCTCCAGAACTGGGCGCATGAACAAGACGAGCAGGTTTGAGCTCCTCTGGCTTTGTGTTTTGAGAGGGAGACTTGGTGTCTTTGAATCCTGTTAGCCCATAACCTTTCCAGATGGCCATTGATAACATGAGGCAAGACGTATGCTGTGCTGGACAAACGGCACAGAAATGGGAAAGCAGCCTTTCAGCGAGGCTGGGCTTGGTTTGCATGAATCTCACTAAGAACAGATTCCAGACAATACCGCCTTTGTGGGCAGATGCCTCTCCCACAAAAATAGCTCTCTTTGCTTGCCTTTGTCTCTGAGGATGCGGGCTGTTTGGGCAAAAGAAATCGCGTCCTGCTTGCTTAAAAGGGACAGAGGGCAAACGGCAAAACTGTCCTTCTCGTTGAAAGAGCTGCCAATCGCTGTCAGCTCTGTGCAAAATGTTCTCTGTGTGCGTGCATGTTGCTCTCCCTGACCTCTCCCCTTTCTCTGTAGGTCAAGGAGAAGCTGCACAATGAAGCCCTCACCCTCCTGAAGAGCGGAAGGTTCAAAACGGTCTTTGATAAGGCCTTGGTCTTATGTCAGATGCACAATTTCAAGGATGGTGTCCTCTACCTGTATGAGCAGGGCAAACTGTGAGTGTTGCTCTTGTCTGTCGAGTCCTCCCCCTATCCCCAGTCCCCCGCTGCAGGGATTTCTGAACCATTCACGTTGGTGCCTTACAATGCTAAGGACCTCTTTAAGATCTCTAGATGGGAACTGTAGATCATTGTTCAGCTGAAAATATCTCATCAGAGCAGGGCAGTTAGGTCTGTCATTCACTCTCTACCTGTCTTGGCTTCCGCGTCAGTGTCTGGGGACAGTGTGGTTGGGTGAAAACCTGGGGTCCCTGTAGCAACTTGGCAGGACCGGTGGATTGTTGCAGCTGATGAGTCTCTTTCTCTTGTAGTTTCCAGCAGATCATGCACTACCATATGCAGAACGAGCAGTACAAGAAGGTGATCGAGGTGTGCGAGTTGTATGGAGACCAAGAGGCTTGTCTCTGGGAACAGGCTCTCGGCTACTTTGCGCGGAAGGAGGAGGACTGCAAGGAGTATATTGCTGCGGTGCTGAAACACATTGAGAACAAGAATCTTATGCCTCCGCTGCTCGGTAACAATGACAGCTGGCACCCCCAGCAACCCCACAAAACCCAAACTAGTTTGTTTCACGCTCTGTAGATTAGAAAATGGAGAGAAATATCGGCACAGTTTGAGCCCACCACTCGAAGTAATAACCTGTGCTATGAGGAAAAGCGATGCCAGTCACAGCTCCCTAATTAGGGAAAAAGATGCGTGGTGTCAGTCGTAGACATGTCTGTCCCCCTTTTCTGTTTTGTCAGTGTGGGGAGCTGAAGGGCTTGCTGAAAGGCCTGCTGTCCCTTGGTGGAGAAGTTGGAATGGAATCCAACCCACTAGTTGCTTGCTTTGCCCCTTTTGGTCCGAGTTATCCAAACGTGCTTCTGTTCAGCCATTTCTGGAAGAGGTCAAAATGAAACCGAGTCTTTAAATGAGCTTCAAATGAGATTCAGTAGTAGTGCTGACTGCCTTTGCCTGCAAGTGGCCTTTTACAGGAAAGTGGTCTGCCCAGGTAGGACTAGCGTCGCTGCAGCTTTACTGCTAGTGTTTAAACTGCTGTCTCTGTTGCTCTCAGTTGTGCAGACCCTGGCTCATAACTCCACAGCCACGCTTTCTGTGATTAAGGATTATCTCGTCAACAAGCTGCAGAAGCAGAGCCGCCAGATAGAGCAGGATGAGCAGAGAATTCTGAAATACCGCGAAGAAACCACAAGGATCCGCCGCGAGATCGAAGAACTAAAAGCAAGGTGTGGGACTGCGCACTGTCTTGTCTTGCATAGGAGAGAACCATTGTTTTCTTTTATTAAAGAAAAATATACTTTGTCCTTCTCCCCCTTCTGCCTCCTCTCGCTCTCTCAGTCCCAAGATCTTTCAGAAGACCAAGTGTAGCATTTGCACCAGTGCCCTGGAGCTGCCTTCAGTCCACTTCCTGTGCGGTCACTCCTTCCACCAGCATTGCTTTGAAAGCTACTCGGAAAGCGATTCCGAATGTCCTACTTGCATGCCAGAGAATCGCAAGGTGATGGACATGATCCGAGCCCAGGAGCAGAAGAGAGATCTGCACGACCAGTTTCAGCATCAGGTAGGGTGACATCGCTGTTCTTGCCATGTTTCGATCAAGAGGGTTTAGATTAATTTACAGATCCACAGAGGCTGGTAAAGAAAGGTAGGACCAAGTCCGTTTTGTAAACAAGGTTACCTTGGCTGTGATTAATGAGGCATTAGGCCCTAGGGTGACCGTGTCATGTAGAGGGCGTGAAGAGCCCTCGATGCTCTCCAGAGATGACAGGGAAGCTATTCTCACCTGACCCTGAAATGGATCAAGACTACTGGTCAACTAGTTGTATAGAACAAACTGAAGAGAAAGGACAAAAAGTTGCGTGAATTGGAATGGGAACGGGATGGTGCAGTTGGGGTGCACCAAAGGTGTTGCATCTGCTTTGCATTTCCCAAGGTTGAAGTGGTGAAAGTGAGAACGGGGCATTAGCTAGAACGTGTTAATGCGTGTGGAAACTGGAGTAGCCGAGGCAGTCCCTTTCTTGCTTAAGAGTAGCGTTCGTTACATTTTTAATTAAGTGCGTGGCTCAAACATAGGACTGAAACAGGTGAGCAGCCAACGCCAGAAAGCCTTAGCAGAGGAAGCGGGTCAGGCAGAGCTTGCACTGAGCTAGCAGACTCCCCAAGGCGGTGCGGGCCGCTGCATCTCTTGTTACAGTGGTGGTGGGCGCAGGGTGCGAAAGGGGCGGAGCTGGAGGCCAGGGGCTCTCAGGGCTGGGCTGATGCGACTACTTTGTGTCTGGCAGCTCAAGTGTTCCAACGATGGCTTCTCCGTTGTGGCCGACTACTTTGGTCGAGGCGTCTTCAACAAGCTCACCCTCATCACGGACTTGCCCCCGGGAAAGGCGGCTACGACCATCGAGGCCGGCCTGCAGCGGGAGCTGCTCATCCAC